ATGCAAAAACCCCCTAAAAATGAATCGAGTTTAGAAACAAATTTTTCTGTGGTTGCCCAGCCCTACTGTCTACATACAGATCTAGACATGTTCCAGTATTTCTGAACGTCTATTTTCTGATTATATATATGATTGTGTCAAATAATTAATTTAAAAATATTTAAGAAAAAAAAAGAAAGAAAGAAATAGGAGAAAAATGTTATATAGAATGTTAATCTATAAGGTTCATCTCAAAAAGGATTAATATGCAAAAGAAAACAATCCTCATGGTGGTGGGAACTATAAATGTTGTGTATGTATTAAACTAAATATATATAATAAAAAAAGAAAAAAACCAATTATATATCAGTGGTTCTCAACCTGGGGTCCCCAGATGTTTCTGGCCTACAACTCCCAGAAATCCCAGCTAGTTTACCAGCTGTTAGAATTTCTGGGAGTTGAAGGCCAAAAACATCTGGGGACCCCAGGTTGAGAACCCGTGCTATATATGAATGAGTGAAGAGTGAAAGGGGGGGGGCAGGGGACAGTTCCACCTTGTCTCCTGTGCTATGCTAATAATCTATATATATATAAATGCTCTGTGCGTAATGAGTACCTTAAAAACAAAAAAAACTACTGGACCAAATGACCCCAAATTTGGCGACAAAACTCCTCACAATCCAAGGAGTGACCATCACTGAAAAAAAATCCCACAAAATACCTTTAAATTCAATATATTACTATATTCAATAGACTCATAGAATAGAATTAGAAGGGACACTACGATAGTATTGCGGGAGGACAGGAAGGAAGGAGAGAAGAAAGAAGGGAGGGGAAAAGGGAAGGAATGTAGGAGGGAAAGGAGGAAGGAAGGAAAGAGAGAAGGAGGGAGGGAAAGAAGGAAAGAAAGAAGTACAGAAGGAAGAATACAAAGTAGAAAGGAAAGAAAAAGGGGAGGAAAGGCAGGAAAGAAGTATAGAAGGAAGGAAGGAGAAAAGGAAATAAAAAGTGAAAGAAGGAAGGAAACAGGGAGGGAAGAAAGGAAACAAAGGAAGAAGTAGAGAAAAAGGAAGGGAAGGAAGGAAGGAGAGAAGGAAAGATAAAACCAAAGAACAAAAGAAGGAATGAAAAAAGAGGTAGAGAAGGAAGAAAGGAGAGGAAGGGGAAGGGGAAGAAAAAGGGGGGAGGAATAGGTAGGTACCGCTTTTTCATAATAATACAGATATCTACCTCTACTTCAAAAATTCTTACTATAGGCCACAGCAACGCGTGGCAGGGCACAGCTAGTATAATATAATATCTATCTATTAGGGCTGGGCGGTTTCGTTTCGTTAATTCGTAATTCGTTAATAATTCGTTAATTTTTTC